GAAGGTGATAAAGAAGAAGTTGCATCACAGAAGTTGAAATGCAGCTGAAGCGTTGTCTTTATGAGCTGAATAGTCGTTTTATCATTCTGCTCCACTAGCTCACATTTCAACAGGGGTGAGGAGGAGGGGGGGGGAGGGGGGCTTCCTCATCAGTGTGCTACCGTGACTTTTCGAGCTGCCGCACCAGATTTATCAAGCAGCAGCACTCGGGTACAAATGTGTGGAAAATGATGACATGTGCTGGGAGCTTCATCTGTGACAGTGGGAGCCCAGGTGGGCAGATTCAGCTTACACCCGCGCCAAAGTTTCTCCCCATTTCACAAGACACATTAGTTATCAACATTAAGCTGAAGATGTAGGTGGCAAGAATTACAGCTGTGGAAGTTAATGAGATGAAAATTGCCACAGTGAGGGAGAAAGTGGAGCATCATGGACGTCTCCCGGCTCAGTGATCTGAAGTGTTTGTGTAACGTCTCTGTTTGCGTCGACAGAAATCGTTTTTTTCACGCTTTTGTTTGTATAATTTTTTACCTCACCCTGTGACTTTCCATGCAAATATTTCACGCAACCCACAAACCCCTCCACCCCACCCTCCACCCCACCCACCCCATCAAGAGCCACATTTATGAGCATGCAATCAAAGCGGAAACATACTCACAAAGATAAACAAGTTGAACAAGACCATCATCAATTTGACGAATGTGAAGCAACTCATTTTGATCTGTAAAAAAAGGAGGAGATAAATTATAGCACTCTCATTAACACACACACACAAACACACACACACACACACACACACACACACACACACACACACTGTGTAAACGAGCTCGCTGACAATGAGTCTTAATGATAACACACAGCAGTGGGAAACAGTAAAGATATCTGTTAATGGGAGATCTATACGAGAGGAATATGTGTAAGTGTTAAGCAGAGACATTAAGGCAGAGAATACAGATCTTACCCTTTAATGTGCTAATATCTCAGATTCAAACCAGTTTTGCAGTCCGTGTCCGGGGAATAATGAGACAAACGGGACCAGAAAAGCAACAAAAGTCCCAACAGAAAGGATTCAGAGTCCTCTGTTCCTGCAGCTCAGGTGTTTCCAGGTGAGCCGACGAGGGGGAAAAGACTGCCCCGGTGTTTGTGTTTAGTGATGAAATCCGGGGATATGAGGTGTGGTGGGTCTGAAATCTGATGAGTGCTTCTCCTCGGGCTCACTGGTGGAGCGAGCGGTGGGACAGGGTGTGGCCCCAGAGGACACAGGTGAGGTGACAGCAGGTGAGAGAAAGAGAGAGAGAGAGAGAGAGAGAGAGGCTCGAGTGGCAGCTCTGACCCCTGCAGGTACACGGTGACACACATTCACAGCACGGATCAGGGATCAGCTTTTCAGGGATTGGAGGGTTTTTTTATGAGAAGTGAGGACGACTTCGGTTAGTCGGCTGTCGACGCTGAAAAGACAAAGGAGATCTGTCAGAAAACTTGAGAGTGGAGAGGGATATGAAAAGTGAGAGGGGAAGTAATACGCTGCACAGTGTTGGTATAATCATGATGTCTGCCAAGTGTGGAAGTGTCATATTGTCAAAAAGGGAATATTTGTCTTGCTCCCTCACCCTCTAATGTACTCTCAATGTCACTCTTTTTTAAGAGAATTATTGTGAACACAAATGTCCAAAGTCTGTTTTTACTTTTTCTTCTTCGTCTTATTTTTAGCAGCTGGTGTGCAGAAAACCTGACAGGTAGGCTTTCAGGAGCTGTCCATGATTCTTTTGTTAGCTCACATTAAGGAGGTCAGCTCACCTGAGGCTGCTCCAGGACGACACAATAGTCGAGTATAATACGAGCGTTTGCTTTACAACAGGTTGGAAATTAACTTTTTTTGCAGATACCTGCCACTGTGACAGGTGGATCCAAAAATATTCTACTTTCACTGGCAGCATAATTTAGTGACATATAAAAATCAAATCAAGGATTACAGTATTTCAATCAGGAGAGACAAGGGAATTAAGAAAATTATTTATTACAATGAATAATATGAAAATGTGAAAGATGGACTCTGACGCTTGGATTCATTGATATGTAGCCGATGAAGCAGCGGGAGCAACTCAGGTTTAAGTGTCTTGCCGAAGGAGACATCGGACATGTGGCTGCAGGAGCTGGGGATCAAACCCTCGACTTCCTGGTTGAGAGACGACCGACTCTACCCACTGATCCACAGCCGCCCTGCTGGGTGCTAAATTCCAACCTCTAGTTGGTTTCCAACCTGATCTCACAGAACGAGTCCAAATGACCTTCAAACACCGAGTCAGCTGCTGACGCCGCAGAAAGAGAACAGACTCAGTGTAGTGTCAACTTAACTCAAACAAAAATCCTCTTGCCTCTTCTTGCAGGACTAGAAGTTTCTGACTTGTAGGCTACTTTCCAAAAGACACATTTTTAAGTAATCCAAAGATAAAAGGAGGCAGATTTAAAGTGACAAAAAAAGACGATATATTCCTAAAAAAAAAAGAATTACAGAACAATTACAAAATAAGCTCTTATAAATATTACACGTTTACTAAAAGAAAACCTTTTGGATTTGACCAAAAACTAAAACCTCGTCCTGCTCAGTAGAACGCCTTCTCGTCTGAGTATTTATTCACCTGTACCCACATGGCAATTTATGCCAATTAGCTGCACTTTACGACAGCACTTTGCAGCAGCAGGACTTCTAATCACACAGATCTACTGTAAACACACAATGTTTCAATACGTGATAAATATAAAAAATGTAAATTAATTCTAAAATTCAAAAGCAAAAACTCTAATTATAAATGTATAAATACAAAATTATACTAATGGGCAAAATATATTTTTATATTAACCTGTTGTCCTCTATGGCTCTAACACTCAGGATGCCAGTTATTTTCTCGTCACAACAAGATCATTGATTTGGGTTGAAATGAAAAGTATTTAAGTCAGTAATAGAATAGAATAAATGGTGGATGAGTGGACGTTTGCCCGAGGCGAGGCTCTCCAGGTGCATAAAACAGCAAAAAAACATTCAGGCCGTCAGTAACAGAAACAACCTAGGAGCTATTAAAAACAGACCCTCTGGGCCCCCTACTGGCCTTGGACCCCGGACAGTTACCTGACCTGCCTGTTGACCAGCAGCGCCTCTGGCTTTGTTGATATCATCAGTTTAAAATATCCTCTGCATAGAGTTTGCGAGGTGTGAATAAAAGAGAAACTTTAGACAGCAATGGTTTGAACTCAAAGTGAAGCAGCAACACCCGAACATAACTCGAATAGATGTGAGTGTTCACTTCCTGTTTTTGTCTTACAGAGTGCACATGATTGGCAGAGGGTATGTTTGCATAATAACTGAATATTTAATGCTAAACATGAGTGCATTAACAGGAGAAGGTGCTAATTTGCTAAAGTTAGCGTGCGCTGCTGTGAACTGTGAGAGTGCAAACATGCTAACTGGTGTGTAATGAGCTTTAATGCATGAATATGGAGAGTCTCCATGTTTTCAACAAACATATCTTCTCCTTTTAACCTAACGGAGTCATTGTGGTGTGAAATTTAAGTCAATTTTATGATAAAGTTGCCCCAGTATCCTTATGGTTTATTTACATGTAAATAAAGGAATATTTCTATATATCTATGTATAGGTCATGACGCCTCTGGACTGTGAATACCTCCGCTCTGGAAGCAGGCAGCAGCTCTCCTTCATAACGCTGTTCAAAGCGTCCGCTCATGGCGTCCTGTGTGGATTTCCAGCTGCACTGAGGGTTATTACTCCAGAGAGTAATAAAACCAGCGCAGAGCATCTCAGCTACCCTCTCCCCAAGTCACACACAGATCCAGACAGATACACATCTCACACCACCTCCTCACTCCCACCCTCTGAGAGACGCTACAGGTCTATGAAGATCCAAACCTCCTCTTCAACAGCTCCTACCAAAAGACACATTAAGGAGCTGAACTCTGTCAAGAACCAGATCTGCAGAGTTCTCTCAGGAAGTGAACTGGCAGCTCTTCAGCTACCAGACCAATTTCCAGATTTGGTCCACTCTGGGACTTGAACTGGCAACCCTCTGGTCCCCAATCGAAGTCCCTACAGACTGAGCT